AATTCATAATATTTTTTTCTATCTTTAAGACATTTAATAAAACTATCGATATCATCAAAAACTTCTTTCTTCATCTTGGAAAATAACTCATAATTACTCTTCCCTTCGTTATGAATTAGATCATCCTTTTTAATAATTGAATAAATTAAATCCACGTGATTTTGATTTATTAACCTGTAACGCTCACCACATCTTCGAACACGCACATTGATTAATTTTTTATTAATCAATTTTAAAAAATCAGCTTTCTGCTTATCTGATCGAGCAGATTCCACATTAAATTCATTAAAATATTTATAACCATTATTACTTAAGAAAAAGCTTTCCAAAGTTGAATATCTGATGTATTTTGCGGTGTCAAATTCGTCAAAGATTTTTAACGCGATATCAAAAATTTCAGATTCATTAAATTCTCTTTTTTGAAAAGAGATTTTAGTAGACATTTTTTTCAAAAAAAAAAAAGAAGTGATTTATTTATATAAAAATTTAACGTAAATAAAAATCAAATTAAAATTTAATCCAAAAATAAACAACATAATCTGGTTTATAAGCTCGATAATATCTATCATATGTAACTTTCGAATTCCTACGATTCATATTCACTAATCTTCCTTGAATTAATCTATTATAACATTTCCTTCTATACAAACGACACCCAAAATGTTTATCTATACAATCATATTTAAAAAATTCATTATATGACACCTTCTCCCACTTATATTTATTGCCATCAGGTACGCGATGGTGAACAATACTCTTATCAAAATTAATTCGATCAGCCAAAACATGATTTTCTTTTACGATATACTCATCGCAGAGATGGCGACTTGATATTTCACTTAGTCAATTGAATCGATGATGGGATATAATTCCTCTCATTCTTAATCTCTTTTTTATCAAATATACGATTACAATCTTGATTTTCAACTTTACAATTATTGCAAACTCTGTTATTATCGCAGGCAATCTTCTTCTCAACACAGTTTCTGCAATATCTCTTTGGTCCACGCTTATTGGCTTTAGCACGATTACAATTGAATCCTTTACTCCTACAAGGATCACAGATATGATTATTATCGCAACGAATTTTTTTTCTTCTACAGGAATCGCAAGATATCGTGACCCTTTGTCGATTTCGATTGGTACTCATTTTTAAAATCAGTGAATGGGTAACCAATCCGGTCCTTTTATAAAAAATTGCTAAATAAAAGATTTTCCGATTGGTTCATAACCTGTTTAGATTCTAATCATAAATAAAAAATACTCTGATTGGTCAATATCTAATCCATTTAAATCTTATAAAAACTCATTACGTAAATTATACTGCGAACAATCAACATGTCAAGAAATTTTACATCTAAATTCAAAATTGATGAAAAAAGATTCTACACCCCATATCCACAACATAAAAACGATGAAAATGATTATAAAAAGAAATATGAATCATTAAAAAATGATCATAAGAAATTAAAACATTCCTTTAATCAATTGAAAGAAAAATGTATTAAATACGAAACCTTTATAAATTCCATTATCGAATTTATTAAGAACGAAAATTTGTCAAAATCTAATCAACTCAACATCCCAACGAACGATGAATCTTCAACTACTAAAGATAATTATACGTCCAGTGATGAGGATCTCTTTATCGTCGAAAACAGACCCACACTTGACAACAGTAATCAAAATAAATCTGACCTTGATGGTTATAATTAACAAAACGAAATTGATAATTCCATCGAAAATAGTCAAATTATTCAAATCAATAACAAATTCTCAATCGAAAATGAACACCAAACCTTTAATCAATTTAATAATTCAACAAACAAATCTTTCATCGATGAATATACGACAAGTAATCTCTTTACTATCGAAAATGGACCGGGGTTCAACATCGATAATCAACAAAATGAAATTAATAATTTTATTGAGAGTAGTCAAATTATTCAAATCGATAACAAATCCTTAATTGAATATGAGCCAAAAGCATTTAACAATGCAACGGATAATGAATTTTTCGTTAATGAATACATGACAAATGAACTTTCATCTCAAACTATTAACAATATTTTCGAAAATAATAATGACTATACGACCCAACCCAATATTCAAGAAATTCAATACAATCCATATATTAGTTATATACCCATTATTAGTATTCTTGAAGATGAATATGTTAATATTGATAATAATGTATATAATTATTCAACATAAGTACTATCAATATTCAATAAAATTCACATACGAAAATAAAATTAAAAATGAATCATCTATATTTAATTCATAATCAATCAAATTTAAAAATTTTCTCTCAATTCTATTGATTTCTCGCACGTCTAATCCCGTAATCACTGACCAATGCTTATTTGGATATACAAAATCATCTGTATATTTTCTCGCCAAAATAAGCGCTACCAGAAACATATAACGCCCACAATTAATCGGATACTCATTTAATTGTTTAATTTTACGTTCGATTTTCATTATATAAAATAATGCCACTTGAATATTCAGATATGTAGACCTAGATTTTTTCAAAATCTCTTCAATGTATATGTGGAGAGGTATAATATATACTTGAGGATTTCTATCCCAAATCTTTACTATAATGGATTCAATAATATCAATAACGCGTTTGCTACTCATTTTTTATTAAAAATTTAAAAAATTACCAAAATATCATTCGCCTATTTATATATAATTATCAAATTTAATGACGTATCAGTGATGTATCAATTAATAGAAAGGTGGAAATATAAAATATAAAATCGACTAACTAATATAAATATCTCATACTGTTATCCAAATTTATATTCCAAATAATGCTCATCACTAATTCTATACATAAAATCTTCCACCTCAAACCACCTCAAATATTCATCTCGCCATCGTTCCACTCTCGCATTATATTCTTCATCACCTTCATCCACATCCCCATCCCAACCTGCTTGTCGACGCTCTGGTTTACTCGGAGGTCTTCCGGACTCAATTGTTACAAGTTTTGCATCATCTAATTTAGTTGGTTTTATATGCAAATCTGTGCGATAAATTAAATCATTATTGGTAAAAAGGGAAAAAACTTCTAAAACAGTCGGAGAAGGGCCTAACCCCCCAGAAATATAGGTATGATATTCCTTTTTAAAAAGAAAAAGATATGAAAATCCAGGCGATGATGGTGTCGCGAGTGAATTTCTCATTATAGAAACATTATTCTCGGTAACAATACTGAAATTAAAATTTATATTCGTTTGTCTAATTGCACATTTGTCTCTTTGTTTAGAAGTATATTTAGTAATCCGTTTTGTAATTCATTTAATAATTTTAAATTGTGTGCGTTTGGAATACATCTTTGTGCCTTTAGATCAAATGCGATAAAGGTACGTCTTATATAATAAATCAAGAAGCTTTTATTAATCAATAGTTTCTTCCATTCAACACTAATAGGGTCTAAATTCAAAAATTTCCTCGAATACCTATACACGATCAAAAATAATTACATACAAATTTGAAAATAAATCCACGAGAAGTAGAACTCAAAAAAAATATAGTATTAACACAAATAAAGCAGCTGTATCATATAATGTATTCGAGGAATTTAAATTGGATCACGCACCTCTTATTCAACTTCTAATAATAAAGTTCCCTTTGCAATCATCTGACTTCAAAAAATCTAAATTCGACTAGTAATCTTTTAGTAATTTTCAAAATTACCAAATATAGATAAATTTTATTTTTTATTCGTTTTATCTAAAAAACAATTGGTCCTCGCGTTAACAAGTAATAACTCGTTTGGTAAAATATTTTTTTTAAAAAAAGATACTAATAAAACTCACTTTCCGATAGGTTATACCACTAATGCCAAAAGTTGATATTTATTTTATTGTTTGTAAAATGCAGATACACGTAAAATAAATAAGAAAGACAAAATAAAATCAAATTCAAAATAATATCAAAATATAATAAATAAATTTGAAAAAATGTAAAAAGGGGAAAAGACATAATTGTAATGAAATAAAAAATTGAAAAATGATTGATTAATATATATGATATGGGTCAAACTCATTATCGTCTGGATCAAGATAATCTAATAGCACCTTTATCAAAAAATATAAGCAAAATGTAATCATCAAAAATAAATAAAATAATTCTAAATAAATAAAAAATTCGACCATTAAAATCAAATTGAAACCTGAAATCATCCACTTGATCCACAAAAGTAAATCAATATCCGTAAAAAAGAAAATCATAATTTAACTTTGAATTTTCTCCAAGGGTAATTTGATGGCAGCTCTAATATTTTGAAAAATAGATTTTTTACCATTCGAATTATCTGTTTCGCTATCTGTTTTGCTATCAGTGCCGTTGCTTTTGTGGGTATTATCGGATCTCTTATTAACTTGTTTATCACCCGCAGTATTTCCCGGTGTAGTGCCAATTGGAAGTTTAAATTTTTTCAACGAAATTTCTGTAAATCGTTTTGACTTTTTCGAGTTCAACTTTTGAAATTGTATATATATAAATAAAATGATTATGAGAGTCACTGTTGTAATTATCAAATATTGTGGATATGACAACGATAGGATAAACACCAGCCAGAATATAGTTGCATAAAGAATTTTTTTCATGCCGATTGATGAGAGGTACTTGGAATCTCAACGTGATGAGTAATGATGTAAATCGCGTGGACAAGACCTATAATAATTATAAATAATAATAAAAATTAAGATAAAAAAATCGAAAATAATAATAAAAATTAAGATAAAAAAATCGAAAATAAAAATAGATACCTGGAATGTATCCAAAAATTGTTAGGAAGATGTTAAGACACAACTGGGAACCACAACCTTTCAGTGCGATTACTCCAAAAGGGGGAAAAAAGAATGAGAGAAGTGTCAAAAGAATAATGTTATGTGGTTTATTCGAATCTGAAGACATTTTGAACTGTCCTATTCAAACCCAGCTTCTTATATAACGATGAATTCTAAGTGACATTGAGTCTCAAATAGGAAAGCGGGTAAATACAAAACGGCATTGAGTCTCAAATAGGAAAGCGGGCAAATACAAAATGGTAATTGAATCTCAAATTGGAAAACTGGTAGAATACAAAATGTTAATAAAATATCGTTGAATCCAAAATTAGAAAACAAGAATGGTTATACAATCAAATCACGCCAAATTGGAATAATCATAGATTGAACAATGACATTCCTTGTAACCTCATCCAAATGGTTATACAATCAAATCACGCCAAATTGGAATAATCCAGAATAATCATGTGAAAAATTACCCCGATCTTATTAAAAAATAAGTTTGTGAACTTTCTAATAAGACATTCAAGCCCTATATAGAATTAATGAACAGTTTTGCAAAAATAATTGGTCTTTAACGAATTATATTAGATGCTTTATTTACTTTATTTAGAATAAATAGATAGATAAACCGAATGGAAGATGCATTGTCACAATCGATTTAATAAATCCAAAAATAGATGCGATTTCATAGATACGAGTAAGTATAAAAGAGTGGCAAACTCGTTTATGGTAACTTCATTCAAAAATGTTTAATCCAAATAATTACTTATACTCTTCAATCCTTGCTCTCGCAATCGTATCTTATTGGCAATATTCAAATGTTGATAAGATGATTTTTTTCGTTCTTTTTTTCATTATTTTTCATAATCTGACTAAACATATATTTTGGATGGTTTCTGGTTTCTTCTTCATCTCTTATACCCAATACTACGAAAGAGATTACATGTTAATAATTATCTGTTGCATCATTTCAAAAACATTTGATACCATTCTTATCGAGAGAAAAAAATCAGAAATTCGAAAAAATTTGACCGAAAATTGTAAAAGAAAAACAGAAGACGATTCGGAAAACACTCTCCATTAAATAATTATAAATAATATAAACAAACTGACATCACCCCTCTTTTTTTAACTCAACAATGGACAAAATTAATCTTGATGACCCCTCCATGGAATCGACATCTTACACACATAGTCTCAATTCTCCACAATTAACACCTGGCACGCCTAAAGAAACACATTTTAATCATGAATATACCATCAGCTCTCTCAGAGAGGTCAATGATACTTACAGAAACCTTAATAGTGATTTGAATCGCACGGTATTGCAGTTACAAAGTCAAATAGTAGCCGCTGAAAAGGAAAAGAGAATACAATCTTTAGAACTTCATAAAACTAATCTTACAACGGAAATTTTTAAAAGGGAAAAGGATTTATTGAAAGAAAAAGTGGAAACCTTAACAAATGAAATCAAATCAGTAAATGATTGAAATGATTTTCTTACAAAGGAAGTAGAAAAATTACAAGATCATATCGAACAATTAATTTCAGCTAATGCCACCGATGATAATTCCTTAGACGATTTTGACCATACAATTAAAATTTTTTGTTATTTGAGTGAGAAATTTCCCAATTTGCACCTACAGGATATTATTAACTTTTTAGATAATGAAATGACAAAAAATGCCCTACCGCGCATTTTAGAATTTTTCTCAAATAGAAAATACTTCATGCTTGAAATTCTTTTAATGAATATTCTATCTATATTTTTCTTATTCATATTATTAAATTACAACAATAGAAATCTATCATGTGTTATTCATTAACGTATTATATTTCTTATTTTTTTATTCAAAATCATTTATACACAAAAAAAAATAAAAATAAAAAATTATAAAAAACTCGAATTATGCGATTCTACACGTGTATTTTACCCATCTTAATAACATCATTCTTCAATAAAATACATTTATAAAAAAATAAATCACGTCAAAAATTGATACGGAATGAGATTTTATCAATTTAACCTATAAATAAATAAAAATCTTATTAAAATAAAATATATAAGATCAAATCACATACATAAAATTACATACAGCGACTCGATTTTCATTACTTCACATCCCGACTCAATTTTCGTTTTCATTCTACGTCCCGAGTTTGGTCCACGTTTTTTGGATATTTCTCTTCTCACACAAGTTTTACCCTTTGATTTACAAACTGAGCAAATAACTCCATCATCACAACAAATCTTCTTCTCAATACAATAATTACAAGCTATCGTAACATTTTTTCTCATTTTCATTTTCATTTTCAACTGAAAATTTATTCAACTTTCTCGATTTATTTATACTATCATCAGAAAAACAAAAAATAAAACTTTATTAACTAAATACACAATAAATCTTGATTGCGGAAAAACAAATAAAAATTTATTAACCAAATATATACATAATTGCGGAAAAACATTAACCTATCACAATTTGTAAAATATCTAAAAATTATTAAAAAAACATCACGTGTGGCAAAAATGCCCACACGTGATGTTTTATCAAATATGTGATATACAATAAATCAAATCAATATAATATTAATTTCTAGTACACGATACTCTTCATCACACATGAATAATATCCTTAACCTTTTGCATCAATAACTCATCAAATAAAGGATTTTTATGAGAAGCCTCCTCATCATTTAAAAGAGCTTTAAGAAATTTATCATAATCACTAATAGATGCTGTCGTTAGAAATGTGGCATTAATTCGAGCCTTCACGAGAAAATCCACCCGACATCGAGTTACATGAAGTAATTCGATCAATCTCCACATTCCACTCCAATATCTTCGCTCCTGCCTTCCATCAATACAAAGAATGGTCATCATCTTCTCCGCAACAAGACCGCGTAGGATTTTTGATGTAGGTGGAACCCCATTCTTCTGTTCATAATCCATTGTAAGTACCACAAGCAATGACAAAAATAGTTTCCGAAGATTGTATAACATTTTCAACATGTTCTCATCAGCTTTCCGCTTAACCAATCCAAGTTTATCATATTGAACGATCCACTCCTTAAAGTAATTCTCCAACGTCTCAACATCCAATGTTGAATAAGATGGTAGAAATGGCAGGGATACGGATGAAAAATAGATATCATCATCATCAAAGAGAGAATCGAAATTGGATGTAAGAAAAGATTCGACCATATCATTCCTCGAAAAAAGTTGATCGCCACGTATATCCAATTGATCGGTTGTAACATCGGTAAAAATTTTTTTTAACATATACGCCCTACTAGACAAATCATCTATATTAATTAAAATTCAAATTAATTAAAATTCAAATTCTTCAATAATTCAATAATCTTTTAAGAATTACCCTTTCGAATCTCACATATCTCAATATCAGATTGTTGATTCTAAAAATGCAAAATGTGAATATTAAATAAACTAATTACAATAAATATAACAATCCAATACTACTTACATCATTATTTAACTTTGAGGAATTAATATTAGTCAGTGAACCCTGCGATGATATTACAATTCCAGACATAGGTTGACTCAATCCCAATGAATCATCCCTCTCTAATGGAATTTGAATCTCATCACTTGTTAAAACCACTTCCTTTTCCTTAGATCCAGAGGATTCAGACTCGACCTATTATTACAATTACATAAATTCATTTTCTATTTAACAGATAAAGTTC